AAATTGGCATCATGTATTTATAGAACGAAAGTACAATTCATTTTAAAATAATATTTCAGGTTTTGACTTTTTGCAAGGTGCTGTTCAAACCATGTAAATAAAATTCACTACCTTGTAAAACCTTTTGTGCTCTATTTGATTTCAGAAGTTTTGCGTGGCGGAAACTTATATCCACGGAGGTAAACTCATATTATTCAAAAATTAAAAATTAACTTTTCATTTCAAGTCTTAATTTCAATTGCATTTAATACTGCACGAGAAAAAGCCTTTTTGAATTTGAACTCTTTTGAACTTGATAAAATAGCTTTTTATGCATTTCCACCAACTGAGTAACATACTAGTCTAGAATACGCAAGTGCTAGTTAAAGACTTATATTATTTTTGCATAGTTATTCATTTTTTAAAACTCCAACTTGTATGCAAAATTGATATACACATTTCTCTGTCGATTTGCGTAGGAAGCAAGTCTTTGTCGTGAATGGAGAAGGGATAGAAATGCCGAAAAAACTCAAGACAGCACCCTTGGGCTAATTTCGCTCAAAGCAAGCATTATTGTGGAGAAAACTCTGAGTACATGAGTTGTTCAGAATCACATTTCGGAGCAAATTATCATTGCTGTGAAGCCGATTATTCAGATGAAATGGAAACATTAACATGTTCTGTTTTAATGTTTGTGCTGTGAGGTCAGAATGAATTGCTTAGAATGAGAATGGAGCTGTTGTTGTTGTTGTCTGATTTGGTGATGGAGTAGAGACATTCATTTTATCGAGACGTTCGGCGAATTTTGTACTTTGATGACTTAATTTGGTGATGGATGAACATTTTTCTAACACATTTCGTGCAGAAATACTCAGTTTTTTCTGACCATCTTTGACACAGAGGTGTAGAGTGTGTGAGAAGCAAGGAATACGAAAAACGTCGCTGGTTGAATAGTAGAATTCATCTTCGTCTGAGTCAAATAAGTCATTGTCGATATTCACCTGAGCAAAACAAATTGATCAGGGAAACAGTAGAAACTCAATTAGAAAATAAGCAGATTAGACCATCACAATGGCCGTGGTCATCTCCAGTAGTTTTGACTAAGAAAAAGGATGGTAGTCCTCGTTTTTGTATTGACTACCGTCAACTCAATGAAGTGACAAGAAAAGATTGCTATCCTTTGTCCAATATACAGGAAATGTTTGATCAATTGGCCACCCACGATTTTATACCAAGCTTGACCTTAAATCAGGATACCACCAAATACCCATAAACGACAAAAATAAACCGAAGACAGCGTTCAGCACTCAACAAGGATCATGGAAATACAACGTTCTACCTCAAGGGATAAAGAACAGGCCTCCAAAGAATCATTAACAACACATTAGGAAATTTGAGGTGGGATTGTGCTCTTGCGTACATTGACGATATAATCATATTCTTCAGAACCTTTGATGATCACATAAAGCACTTCAATCAAGTCTGTTCTGTGTTGGCTCATGCAAATTTTCGGTTCAACATCGAGAAATATGAAGTGTGTCAATGAGAAATAAAATTATTGGGTCATCGAGTAAATGAACATGGATTATTACCATTAGAAGAAAAAGTCCAGGCTGTTAAAGAATTACCAATACCAAAAACAGCTAAACAGGCTGTTTCATTTGTGAAAGCTGCTGAATATTATCGGCGCTTTATATCACGTTCCTCTGAAATAGCCCCACCACTTCACAAGTTTTCAAGTTATGGAAAGTATGATAAATTTAAATGGGGTTTCGAAGAAGAAGAAGCATTTAACTAAATCAAACATGAATTATCAACAACAGCTATTCTTTATTGTCCCGATCCATCATTGATATTCAAGATACAGACAGATGCATCCAGCATAGGTATCGATGGAGTAGTGAGTCAAGTTGGTCCTGAAGGAGATCATCCAATTGCATATATGTCAAAGTCTTCAATAAACAGCAACAAAACTGGAACACTACTGACTGGGAACGCTACGCATTGTGGAAGCAATTAAGCTGTGGGAACCATATATTGCTGGAAAAAACTTTAAAGTTTTAACGGATCATCATGCCCTCTGTTGGCTAAACAGACAATATCAAATAATTCAAAACTTAACAGATGGCGAATGTAATTACCTAAGTACCTATTTCAGTATCATCAAGTAAAGTAAAAACAAGTGAAAATCAAATTCAGGGAACTCCTACTCCTTGTTTATCTTTATCATCTCAATTGATGAATCAATTAACAGCAAAAGTGGATAAAAATATAATCTGTGATATTGATTTGAATCGGTTAAAACAACATCAGCAAAGAGATAAAATTGTACAAGAGATTATCAAGAATATTCAACATCGGAAGAACAAAACGACATCACGTGATTAAAGATGATGTATTATACAAGAGATTAGAACGGAAAAACACGATAATTTTCCTTCCAGTTCTCCCTTAGAGCATGATTAATGATGTTCTGTTGGCATATCACAATTCTTCGCATAATGGAGCTCATCTTGGTGCTCAAAGAACATATTATCAAATTAGAGACAGGTAGTTTTGGAGAAATATGTTCAATGATATTCAAAGGCATGTTCAACAATGTTCTAACTGTGCAGTCAACAAACTAAAAACGTTGTTGGAGAACACTTCAGAAGGTGGTGCATTATTATCAATCGGTATTATTATCAATTAATCAATGTTACAAAAAGTTGAGTGAAAATTACGTTGTGTCTAGACAACGTATACGATTAAAATGGGGCTCTGTGTAAGGTTAAGCTTTTACTTGCATAAGGACAACTGTAATAACTCTCCCTCTTTTGTTGTTTAGTGGTCGATTGGTTCAAGTAACATCACGAAAAGATGATGAAGATAAAGTGGAGAAAACTGATGAGTAAGTTTTTTTGACCGAATAAATACAGGCCGACCCGGAAACAATTTCATTCTCAATCAGATATATGACCAAGTTTTAGAAAAAACAGTCCTTTCGTAGAGTTATAAGCTGTCCATTGTTCAATTCATTTAGCGCTATGGACCTAGACGATCGATTGGAAAAGGAAGAACTAATAAATGATCAGTCAAATGATGGTGATAGCGATCCAGCTGACAAAAAGAAACCAGTCGACACGTTTAATAGCGTTGATAACAATTCGAAATCTCAACGCGATACATCGACAGCTTTTGCTTCCAAGGTCCAGCTGACGCCAAGATCACAAGTGACAAAAAGAAAATTTGGACGGTAATAAATACTGTTTCGTTACGCATCTTTTTTAGAAGATTTTTTCATTTAGTGAACTAAACAATTTGGAAGATGCTTTATCGTTACATGAAAAAGTGGCGGGAAAACGAAATTGTACAAAAATAATGTAATCATTCTAATTAAAAACCTAAGGGAACTTGGATGAGACGATTACGTTTTAGGAGAAATAAAAACTGAAAGTGGTGCATGCCTACGGTCAGAAATCTCGCAAATGAATGGAAAAATAGGTTTTTGACTCTGCTGGAACCATAAGTTACGGTCCCAACAGTGTCAAAAACCTATTTTTCAAAGATATTGCAGTAATTTCTCAACGTGAATGCCAGTATATATATATTATAGTCGCTTATAGTCCCTTATAGCCAATTACGGTACCTTATAGTACCTTATAGTACCTAATAGTCCCTTATTGTCCGTTATAGTACCTTATAGTCCTTTAAAGTCCCTTATAGTCAATTATAGTACCCTATAGTCTCTTATATTTCCTTATAGTCAGTTATAGTACCTGTAGTACCTTATAGGCCCTTATAGTACCCTATAGTACCTCATAGTTTTACTACATATATAACATATGTAGAATATATATATATAATAAAATTATATATTTTATGCTATAAATTATACATTCTATATTATATAATACAGATATAGAGACAGATACTTATGTATCTATCACAGATGTGTAAATTTTGAATTATTTTGTAATTCATTTCCGTCATGAGCTCATCAAGCGATCAATAGTGGTCGCAGAATGGCGATGGATCTTCATGAAATGATCGAAGATGAAAGGAACAAATATTCATTGAAGAACAGACTCATGCAGTCAACAGCGGAGTGGCAGAAGAAGGTGCTCGATGCTATTGAGATTCGTTGACAACATCTGATTAAACGCGGAAATTTGATCAAAAACTATGAACTGACAAAGGGTTTCCATCCGAGTCATGATGCACTCGATGTATAGATCTAGCATTTAAAGAAGGATCGCTTTCTTCAGAGGATTTTCTATCTATTGTAGCACTACAAATCAATTGCTCATAAAAGATCATCTCATCGATTTCTATCCAATTTTAGATCATCGATTCTTTCGTAGTTGTATCTGACTTGATCATCGTGCTTGTCAAGTCTATTTAAATGGCTGCTTCTGATCATTCACCATCGATCAGCACAAGGGATACAAATTATCTTCAATTTAGAGCCCTTTGTACAGAGAGATACCATCAGAGATGGCTATTGAATCAATATGACATGTTCGTGACCGATGATATGTTCTTTTATTTGGCTCAAACTGGTTTATTGGATAAAATAGTCGAAGTATTCGAAGAGGCACATAAGAAGAAAACAACAGTGCGTCGAATGAGTGATCAAAAGCGCTCCCATGAGGATGATGTCAACGAGAGTAACGAATGGAATTCATCAACTGATCTTCATTCGAGGGCGAAAAAGCTCAAAAGAGCGAATGTAGTCTTGGCTGATGCTTCAACTCAAACTGAGATGGCTTTCTCTCCTTCTTCTTCTCCTCCATCGACAGCTGATATTGTACCGTCGGGAGCAATGACAGTGGCATAAGCAGGTGATGTATATGCTGAACGTCAGAAAAAAAGATATCGAACGGCATTGTTGGTTCATCATAAAATCCTCTTGTACAATGTGGATTTCTCCCTCCGAGTCCAGTCCAGCCTAATGGATGAGTTGATTCAAGTACTCGAAGATGTAGATCCTGCCGCCAAAGCCTCATACTACAAAATCTTAACTAGTGAACGTGAATTTGACAACAGCGAGAAAGGAAAGAATGGTGTCGAAGAACGAGACAATGAAGAAGACAGTGAATACGACGACGATGAAGATTATGAATTCGAATTGTCGGACGAAAGTGAAGACAACGACGGAGAAGCAGAAGAAGATGAAGGTAATGATACAAATGAGCAAAATAAACATCATCAATCCAGCAGTATGAAAAAAGAAGTTGAAAATCAATATGTTCTTCATGTGGACGTATCGATACAAACACCAGGTGAATTGGATTACATCTTCTTCGATATGCAAGTGCTGGAACAACAGAATATGGAACTACGTTATACATGTCCTATCGATTCTTTTTATAATCGAGAATGATAATATTGGTAAATAGTACAATTTGAAAATATTTGAACAATGCTTCTTCCCTGTCTTTTAGTTCGATGGCACACTATACAAACAATGCCGAGAATAATACCTACAAACATTACTTGGACACTATCAATCTTTTTTTCTTTCCCCATGCTTACTATTCCGTTTGAATTGCTATGTTCAATTTGTTCGCGCTTCCACATTTCTCTACTTCGAGAATACTATACAACCATGAACATGTTGATTCCCGGAGAAATATCCACACAAATAATCATCCACTGGTTGATGTTAAACTGAATTCAGGCCATCTATCATCATCATTTCATTGCTCCTGAATGAAAATACGATAAAACTAAAACCCTTCTGATCCATGAATATTTTGTTTCTGTTTCACTCTAGATAACTATGTATGAATAAACTCTTGTAGAACAACAAACCTTCACTTCACTTTTACGACTGGCTATCCCATGACACTTCTCTGTTTCTGTACTGCAAACTTCTCCACAGCAAACAATAATCCATCAATCAATGAAATCAAACCATGAATGAAGTAATCACCGATCTTTTCATTCACCTAGCAACTCCTATCACCTTTAAAGTGCCTCTTCTTCATTCCCTTCCGATTTGAGATGCTTCTAATTCTTCTAGACTGAACTACCTGATGAGTCCTTGAAAACTAGGACGAAACGCGTCGTGGTAGATCTTTGTGTAACTCACCCTCACCCTCAAGAATCATATCTCAAACTATAGATCTGAAGTCGTTGTATTTAATCAATGAATAATTATATTTTGAGAACTTTAATTAGAACTGGAATGCTGGTTCATTAGATTTTTTTTCTCAATGTATTTTGATTTAATTTAATATTAATGAAATAAATATTATTTATGAACATAAATATCCTCTTAACTCTTAAAAGCCGAATGTCCCTTCCAAGGAGCATGGTGTAAAACGCTATAGCAGATGTAATAAAGCTGCTAACACAAAAACCAATATTTGTCTAGACTTTAGCGGACTGATAAAACATGAGTGAAAAAGAGATTTCTTAGAAATAACTCTCAGAAGGTGGAACAGGGTTTGTAAAACTCGTGAAGTTTTTAAACGACATTTTTTATTTTAAAAAAGTTTGCCTGTTCATAAATATAGCGTGAATTTTTGTTTCTTTGAATAATATTACTAACCACAACGTCAGACTATCTAATGAAACCATTCCGTAAATTTTAAACCTATCTGCTGGCACACAACGATAGTATAAAGAAAATGTCCCTTGGAAGGGACATTCGGTCTCAACGGACCCAAACATTTTAACAACATATAAATATTACACGAGTAGGTTTTCATTTATTTTTGATCCTACTAAAGACTGTTGTATGAGGGAACCAAAGGTAGACTACTTCCCTCAACTAGTCGCCGAGATCTAGTAGTAATTTTTAATAATTCCCAAATTTTTACCCTTGGGGTGTATCTTTGGTGCAAAACAACTGAAACCTGCAGATTCACGGCATTCACTTAGTTCGTATCATCTGATGTGTTCTTGCTAAGTTAAAAAAAAACAAAATAAGTCAGCGCCTATCGTATAATCGATCTCATTTGATCGAAATTGAAACCAAACGTCAGATATTTATATATGTGCATAGATAATTTATGCACTTGTGTTGGCTAGAAACATGATTTTCTGGAAGGCTGAAATTTACTGACCACACGTACAATATGAAAATTACAAAAAAAGAACAGAAACTTGTAAAGCGATCAAAAACTGGCATTGAAAATCAAAACTTTGCAAAAAAAATTAAAGGAAGTTGTTTTCCAAGTGAAAGATAATGTTAATACGATGTTCTCAACGAAATTTTAGATTTCTTTTCCACCCATATAAAAAGCTGCTCTTCCTTTCCCACTAGCAAAAAGCCAATAGCCAAATCCATATCGTTGACCATTTTTGAATTGCCCTATATACTTGTCTCCAGTAGTCCATGTTTCCTCGCCATATCCCCATTCCATACCATTAATAAAGTCTCCCTTGTATACATAGCCACTGGGGCTTTTCAAAATTCCGTAGCCCTGTAATTTGTTATTTTGAAACTGTCCCACGTATGTGTCTCCGTTAACAAAGTAATACAGACCGATACCGTGCATGTTGCCATTAGACCATCTGCCATAATATTTGGCACCACTGTTCCAAATATAAGCTCCCATTCCATGTTCTACGTCATCAACTGTATCTCCGTAATAAAGACCGTTATCATAAATTTTGGTTTGATTTTCTTGTTTTATTTGATTTGTTAAGTCCCGTCTGTGTCCTAGAAAATGAATATTCATTGTATGTTATTAAGAACTGGTCCTTCTCGATCGAATAGGTGGCATACACTGGCTCCAAAAATTGATCGTTCACTTTTGCTCTCAACTTTTCTCCCACAAATTCGCTAGTTACCAAGTTTTTCATGAGTGATTCTGACAGCTCAGAAAATTTCTTATCTAGAGCACTACTTTCTGACATTTTTAGCAGCAAAGGTGTTGGAAAAAACATCGAAATACTCAGAATCGTATTTTTCAAGTCCAAAAAAAAATGTTTCCTGAATCTTTTCAATTACTCCATTTTGTAGAGCGCAAAATTCTGAGCAAAGTGAGACGTCGCTCAGCTCTCCACGACCTTCCAACACGGAGTTATAAGTCGAAAAAAGCAGTTTTTTGACGATTTTCTTAGTTTTTTCGCGATTTTTCGACTTTTGTCGCCTTCATAACTCCGTGTAGGAAGGTCGTGGAGAGCTGAGCGACGTCTCATTTTGCTCAGAATTTTGCGCTCTACAAAATGGAGTAATTGAAAAGATTCAGGAAACTTTTTTTTTGGACTTGAAAAATACGATTCTGAGTATTTCGATGTTTTTTCCAGCACTTTTGCTGCTAAAAATGTCAGAAAGTAGTGCTCTAGATAAGAAATTTTCTGAGCTGTCAGAATCACTCATGAAAAACTTGGTAACTTGCGAATTTGTGGGAGAAAAGTTGAGAGCAAAAGTGAACGATCAATTTTTGGAGCCAGTGTACACTTGGTGACAGTTTCAAAGTTTATATTCGCCCTGCCTCAACTAACATTCCGGAAAGAGAGCAGCAGAAGATACCAAATTTCTAATACAGCGTGCAGATTACAGTGATTTTTTTTTTGAAATTGCGAAAACGTATACAGAAGAAGATGAGAGAATTGATCCAAAAGACATCTCTTTTCCGGCAACGTTGATGCAGTTTATAGGAAGCTTTTACTCTATCTGTCCAAAATAACTGGTGAACGTAGATGTGAAACCAATGAACTGAAGTTATAAAGAGCGACTAATATCTAACAGAATTACTGTAACTTTAATCGGAAAACAACTTTAATCGTTGCCTCATAATTACCTTTCAAACTAGATTTCTTTAGGAGTATGATACTATTGGTGATGAAAAGAACGAGAAATGTACCACTTCAGTTTTGGCTATTTTTAATATAATAAACTCCAGTCGAATGTTGTAAGGTACACAACTGCAGAATTCATCTAGGTGAAATCACAATTTGTATATCCGATTGAGCTAGATTGCTCTATGCTCGTATTAACAAGTATTTAAGTGTGAGTCATCTGTTCTATCAATATGTATCAGTCCAAATTTCTTCCATAAGAAAGAAGTTAAGTTATTTTATATGTGAGCTCGTTTACAAAACAAAGAAGCTATACTTTTATTTGCGGCCTGAATGATCCTATTTACTCTAACGTTACTCACTTGACTTTACATCATCCGATAGATTGATCGATTCTGGTTGAATATTGGAAGCATTTTGTAGTTGACTTTCAGTCAAGAAACCAAGTTCCTTGCCTTTTTGCATATAATCAGCAATGGCATGGTCGATTACATCCTCTCGACTTTCCAAACTCTTCGAATAACCTTCTATTGTAGATAGTGATGGACACCAAAATCGTCCTTGCCAACGCCATTTTGATTGGTAAAAACTTCCTCTGATCGTTGTCTCACAAGTTGTACCGAACATTTCTCGTTCATTCAAATTATGCCATGAATTTGGAAATCGACCTGCGGCTTTTACATGATTCATTCTATCTATTGGACAGGTGCTTGTCAGACAAGGTTCTTGACATTGAATAACGACCAAAGTAGCCAAGAGAACGAACAGAATTGTTGCATTTGCCATAATCTTCCAATTGTTGTTGTGTTGTTGTGTGTATGATTTAAATATGAGGTGCATACGAAAGGTATATATACGTTTTGTTGCGGTATCATATTTCACTCCACGGTAAAGAGCAAAAATGATAAGGCACTTCCTCTATACGTAATTGAAAAAATTAGAGTAAGCGTTGTTACACACTGACCTTTCGTCGATGTTGGAAAAAGGAAGAGCAAACATGCCGAGCACTACCCTTTTTTGTAAGGTCGAGAGACACAAAAATAGGCAACACTACTTACTTCCTCGGTATTGGTATTAGAGAAAGAAGGAATGTGGAATTACATAGCACTTCCTTGATTTTGTTCCGTCTTAGTGTTCGAATTGGATGCACCATCATCGAAGAGAATCAGATGTAAATTTAAGGGATCCCCCTTTCCCGAGCCAAAATTTCCGATTTTTTTATTTTTGTTTATTTGGGTTCTACATATACTTCTAAGTGTCCCCTATCATTTGAACACGTTTTGAGAACTCAAATAAAGCTTTAAAGCCAAAAATTCGCAACACTTTCTGTAAAAAGTTTATATAAAAACTATGAAATAATTATTTTTTATTCCTCAATTTTCTGGAAATCCGGTTTTTGCTTGAAAACCTTCAAAATCGCCTCCGTTTCTCAGAGACGACTCGGTCGGTCGAGCTGACATTTGTAGCGTCAGTAGCTCTACAATCTAGAAAGTAAAACTTGTTTTAATTGTGTACTTTTTGTTCTCAAAAAAAAGCAAAAGTCTGTGGAATCAGTTTTTGCCGTTGTGAAAAAATCATTTTTTCAACGAGATATTTCTTTTTTCTTATTTCATCTTTTTATCATATAATACGTTTTATTAAAAAAAGAAATATACCACGAGGTGCATCGTGAAAAGCTCTACAATTTACAAAGAACAGTTTATTTAAATTGTGCACTTTTTGTTTTCAAAACTCTGTGCGATCAATTTTCACTGTTACGAAAGTTGATCTCACGGAATTTTGCTTTTTTTAAAAACAAAAAGTACACAATTAAAATAAACTGTCCTTTATAAATTGTAGAGCTTTT